TTCGGAGTTGCAAGTGCCTTCCCAAAGGAACTGCCTTGACAGGTCCCTGCAAGTTCTGTGATTAAAGCAGTTTCAGGCTAAAAGTAGATAGTATCATACCCATCTTGCAGGGAGAAAAAGAACAGAATTGCCTAGCCAATTAGCCTAATCTGTCCTTTCTCTAACTTATCTGTTTTGCATAACCGTAGTATTAACCAGGAGTTCACTCTGGCTAATCCCCAGTGCTACAAAGAAAAGAACACATTTGTATATTACAGTGTAATCATAACATCTACTAATTTCCTTCCATACACTACGGGCCTCTTCTGAAAGGAGATTGCTGGCATTTTCCCCATTTTATAAATGAGGAGACTTACAGTACAGCAAAATGATTTTTCAGGAACTGAGAGTTACTGATAAAGTAGAGCCTGATATCGGTGTAACTGATAAAGTAGAGAATAACACTCAGGTCGCCTAAATTCTCAGCACAGTTCACTCCCTGCAAGCTTCAGTGTTCACTTGCATCTGGGATTATGAGTGACGTCTGCAGCAAACCTTTTCCTCCTACATTTCTAAGTAATGTATTTTCTAATTTCCTTAATATCATCACACACTGAAGTGACTAATTACAAACAAAATTTCTTGCTTTCTGTATACTGTGTCTACAAGGACATAACAAGGACTTTTTAGTGTTGGTGGTAGAAAACAAAGTTGACTTCAAAGAAGTGTGCTAGCACTATTTTTTTTTTAAAAAAGAGTGTTATGGTCTCATTTTGGTGCTTTCACAAAATAAAATGTAAATCTCCATGGATCGAAGGGAATGTATTATTTGCAAAAGACCTGCAAACTTTCATCTCAGCTTCATGGCTCTTCATCACTCATCAAAATGTCTGCCTATTGCTGTTCTATTTCAGATGCTTATGCCATGCCTCAATCCCAGACATAGGCCTCCTCCTCTTCCAATAAGTGATGCTATAGTGCCAGAGGGTGAGAGAAGAAGGCTTTTTTGTATATTAAGAAAGTAATTTGTAAGACCCCTATGCTCGTTTTATTCCTTACAGGCAAGATTTTCAGAGAGATCAGAACCATGTTCTTATATGAATAGTTTTCCTTGGGGTATTTTGGTCTTCAGGTAGGATTCAGAAGCTATCTTAAGAATCAGGTAACAAAATCCTGGCACCAGTGTGGAGGAGATTTACCTGCTCCTCCTACCCCAAGGAAAATAAACCAGAGGAGAAAGATAGAAATTCCCATGTCTTATGTGTCTGGACACTGTTAACATATTTGACTGTTAATTTGCTTTCCCAGTCCTCACTGTTCCTGGGCTCCTTAAGCTGTACACATTAAAACTTATCATAACCAATCATTAGTTTAAAAATAAGCAGGTATTTTGCTAGTTGATCTTCTCTTGCAGTTAGTCAGCTGTTACTCTTTTTTTTTTTTCCCTAAAGAAAGGCTAGTATCAAATGTAGATCTCTCTTATTCTGTGATAAGAACCATCTCTGCAAGACCACACTGCCCTGAAGGGCAGGTGGCCATTATCAGGCTCCTTGCCTCAAGATACTGCTGCAATTAAGAATGTTTGCTACCTGAGACCTAACAAGTGAGTACTAGGATCTTCTGAGTTTCAAAAACTAACAACTTTCAAAAGATGGTTTTGCTCTCCAGTGAACCAGGCTATAGATTCTTGTTACCTGAAACCAACTTTCTGTGTTTAGCTGAAGAGCTGACTGAACAAAGTCTTGCAGGACCTCTACCTAGACACAGCTTTAATGACCCTTTTTCATTTTGTGGCAGCTCCTAGCCATTGAGGCTTAGTGGCAGGACATGGTGGTCCATGATTAATGGTGCTAGACACACAGAGCAGCCATGAAGAGACTCCCTCTGTTAGGCAGCAAAGCAAAGATTGAAGTGGCATCTTGCAGTTATCTACGTCAGGGACAATCAGAGAGTCATGAATATCCCAGAGTGAAAATGTGTCTGCATCGATTTTAGGTGTTGGAAACCTTAAGAGATGTCATCCATCATAGCTGACTGGCAGTATGTTTGGGGAGGGTGGGCTAAAGCAGGAGGAATTTGGAGGAATGCCAAAATACTCTTAAAATTTGGCAACTTCATGAAAACAAGATCGTCTTCCCCACAAGCTAGGACACTGAGTCTGAGATTAATTACTTAACTCTTAGTACTCTTGAACTTGGTGTTTATTCCTGTGCTCAGCTGTTCTTTTACAACAACATTAATCTGAATATTTTACAAGAACATTTGAAGTTTATTTATGGAAATATCCATAATTCTTCATGTTAGATGTATATGGAGAGTTGATTGCTTTTTCCATAATTGGGATTGTAACTATGCTCTTTTATAAAGCTATTATTAGTCCCAATATTATCACAGCTGTAGCTTTCAGGACTGATTGAGTTTAGAAATTATTTGGTTTCTTTTAAAGGCTAAGATGAGCTGTTACAGTAAGTTTCAATACAGTTAACCTGGCCAAGCTTTAGGATTGGTTGTGCCTCACTGCTGTACATTCAAAAATAGACTGGATTTACATTTCATGTCACTATCACTACCTCCCAGTACTTGAAATATTCTAGGCAGTTACATTTCCTTGGAAGCTTGTCTGTAATTGTATTTGAAGAAAACGAGTTGTAAATGATTGAAGTTATCAGTGTTCACTCTATATAAATTGGCATAGTGTGTTAGGCTGGAAGACTGTATTTCTATTTATGTAAGATATGTGCAAAGCTATATACTATGTAAACCCAGTTTGTTGTTCGCTTGGAGAGAATATAGAGGCCTCCCTCTGTTTCATCAGTGCAGAGCAAAAGGAACCACTCTAATAGATGGTACTATACCTCTCTTTTTTGAGAGTTATGACCCAAGTCCAAGAGCCAGTTTTATAGGGCTGACTATTCTTTCTGCTAACAGTGCTACTTGTTTGTAATGAGGTTTCACGGTGAAATAATTTCTGAAGGACTTACACACTGCAGAATTTTTTAAGCACGTGGCTGGGAGTGATGATGGAAAGTGGAGTATAGCACTAGGTGATACAGAAGCAGATATGAAGCAATTGGTGAAACTGTTCAAGAGTTTGAAGATCATGTGTTTGAAGATCAATAGTATTCTGTTATTCTGTATATTATCCTTGGTGTGTGCATATGAAATTCCTTGAACAATTCAACAGAGTGCAAGCATTGCCCCAGCTGCTGTGGCCAGTGGTGTGTTGTTCTCAGAGCCGCAGGGAGGCAAGAACAATTAGAAATAACTTGAGGCCAAACATTTTGACTATTAGAAACCATTTTAGCAACTGTATGTAGAGTTTTCAAGGAGGGCTGCTTTATGACCTCTTGGCTCATTCTGAAGAGCTCATCTGTGTCAGTGCAGAACGTCTCCATTAGGACGATAAATGTGCCAAGAACCTCCAATATAACATTGAGTAAACCTGGCAGGTGATGTTTATATTCCAGGGGTCTCTCGCTGATACTTCTTTCCCTTACAGATTTTTTTGTGCGTTTGTTTTCTTTTTAAAAAGGACCCATATCCTTGCCCGTGGCCAGACCGAAGGGTTGTCTAAGTGGTGTGAATGCATAAATGCAAAGACGATCAGAAGCTCATCTTCGCAGTGCCTTGAGGAGGCTCCCTCCCACCGCACAGAAGGGCCCCTGCAGAGCTGCAGTGTGCGCTAGCTGTGATGACGATTTGAGGCTAAGAAAGCCTGGCAGTCCCACAAGGGGTATGCTTTTTCCTCTGGTCAGGCCTTGCTGTCCCAGTTACAGCCACGGCAGCTTGCTGTGTGGTGTGAGTGCCTGTAGGGCTCCCTTGTTGCTGGTGCTAAAAATCTGCAGCTCTAAGTCAGAACGGGCTGTTTATAATTTCAGCTTTTTTCTCTCACTCAAGCCTGTTATATGGAAGTCAAGAGAAACATGCATGGGGTATCTCTTTGGTTTTATTCTGGGTTACCCACCAGGCACCCAATCTGGGTTTCTCCACTGTATTCCACTAATGTGCTGCAATTTTCACCAGTTTGAAGTGAGGATAGACCACGTTCATTCCCACCTGCTAATTTTGAATGCTAGTGATGCTCTAATATTGCGTGGATTCAAAATTCCTTAAGTTTTGTGCCAGCAAAGAATAATATCCATAGATGACCTTGGGAGGCCCCTTTCAACCCAAAGGTTCTATGATTCTACGATTCTATGACCAAACTTGGAGCACAGCTCGGGCCTAGCTATTTGGTTTTTGAAAATGGGTTTGTATTTGAGTAGAATTTATTATTTTAAAGAAAGCTTCTTGTTTCCATCCCTGAATCTTCCTACTTCTCCTCACACTTCCACAGTCTGCACTGCCAGTGCCACTATTTCTTTTTCACTCGCACAGAGGAAGGTGGTTGCAGGCAGAAGTTTCTGGCAAAGAAGATGATAGCTGCATTTCTAGGAGGTGTTTTCCACAGTGGGAAGTAGGAGGATAGGGAAAGTAGGTGGGGGAATGGAGAAAGAGAGAGAAGGGGGTGCTTGCCTTGCATTCTCGGGGAATGCAAAAGCTAAATGCAGCCCCTTGTCTTCACAAGGTAAGCAACCTGCTGGTGTTACGCAGTAAATGTTCAGGCACGCATGAAACGTTATGACAGCTGCCAGGTTCAGACTCAGCAAGTGCAAAGGTCATTTGCACACTCATAAAGAACTGCTCTTTGTAGGTACGTGTTTTTATTCTGAGTTATTAGTTCAGGTTGGAATATGTTTAAGATTAGGACAGATGCAAGTGAGGAGAAAAAAAACCCAGACTAGTTTGGTCTGCTTTTTCTTGAGGTGGCCCTCAAAACTTGTGTGTTACTGAATGTCGGGATGTTGGACCCACAGGAGTTAGGAAGCTTGAATTCTTGTTTGAATTTTATGGCTCTGACTCCCCTCTGCCAGTACGCAGCACAGCAAACACCACCCTGTTCTTATGTCTGTTCTCCTCTCTTATCCCTTAGAGTCAATAGTAACCAATTTTTTTTTCTCTTGTTCTACTTTTTTTAAAGGATGATTCCAGCTACAAGCAAAACCTTTGTTGTAAACAACCTTGTTTCTGGAACAGGCTATGACCTCTGTGTCCTGGCAATGTGGGATGACACAGCCACGACCCTTACTGCCACCAATATTGTGGGATGTGCCCAGTTCTTCACCAAAGAAGACTACCCTCAGTGCCAGTCGATGCACAGCCAGTTCCTGGGTGGGACCATGATTCTGATCATTGGAGGCATCATTGTGGCAACTCTGTTGGTATTCATCGTAATACTCATGGTCCGCTATAAGGTCTGCAACAATTCCCAGGGGAAGATGTCTAATGTCAGCAATGTCTACTCACAGACTAATGGAGCACAACCTGTTCAGAACGGAGTCTTGCCCCAGGTCAACCCCAAAGTGGTGGTGAGAAACGAACTTATGGAGTTTAACTGTCAGTCTGCACGGAGCAGCATCTCCTCTTCCTCCAGCTCTGCAAATAGCCACGAATGTGATGACTATAGCCTCCAAAGTGAACAGGGCACATTGTCCAGTAAGTGGAGGCCTCCTTCCAGGTCAAAACACAATATTGACCGGCTAATGGGAGCTTTTGCCTCCCTGGAACTGAAATGTCAGAAAAAGGAGGAGATGACAGACTCCAGAACTTCCACGGTGGCCCACCACTCGGACAAAGAGCCACTGCTGGGCCAACCAGAGTCAAAATTTCGCAGCCTCCTCATGCTGCCTCTGGAGGGCAAAACTAAACGTAGCCATTCTTTTGACATGGGGGACTTTGCCACATCTCAGTGTTGCACCTACCCAAAAAAGATAACAAACATTTGGACAAAGAGGAGCCTCTCAGTGAATGGCATGCTTTTGCAGTACGATGACAATGACCTAACAGGGGCGAAAGGGACTTTTGGGAGCTCAGAGTGGGTAATGGAAAGCACAGTGTAAATACGAGTGTCTCCCCCACCTCTTCTCCCCTTATGTGTTATAAAGTGTGGTTTGCTGCAGGGCCAAGCATTTGGAAAGAGAGGGGAGGAGACGTTTTCAGTTGTACTGGCCAAAAAGATAAGCAAATAAAATGAGTAACAGGGACATTAAAAGAGAAAGAAGGTCATGAAATGTGAATAGGCACGTATGGCACCATTCTTGTCTGGCCCCAACTAAACAATGCGTGAATGTGTCAAGGAATTTACTAGTTGTATTTAGCATTGCTTTCCAAAAGTTACTGAGGCTCTTGGTGATCCATCACACACAATTAAACAAGGAGGATGAAAAGGGGTTTAACAACAGAAATTTAATTTTAAAGGGTTTCTTTTTTTTTTTTAAAGGGCACCTCCTTCTTTTCTTAAAACCACAGTACTACACTTCTGTGGATATAAGACTGGGGCTAGGATGTATCTGGTTGTCACTGCAAGCAACTTTCTCAAAAGTGCAGTCAGGGCATCCACAGGGACAGATCAGAGCAAATTGTTCAGCATAATCTCATGGTGTTAACTGTGACATCTTGGAAAACAATACTTGTTGTTGAGTGGGCTTTTTGTCGGGATTTAATGATTTCTGTTTTGTTTTTCCTTGTTACTGCTTTTGGGTTGTTTTTTCCCCACAGCAGAAAGTATGTTTCGATGCTTTTTTTTTGTTCGTTTTCAGTCTCACCAAATCCCCCAGATGAAAAGAAGGATATGTACAAAGGTCAAATTTCTGATGTACTGTATAAACCACCTCCAATACCACCCCTTTATGTCCTAGGGAAAACTAAATCTAGGTGCTAATAAATTTTAAAAAAATCATCCTCTTTCTTCCATCTTCTTCATGGCCTCTGCTTGTCAATGCTCAAGGCAGATCGCAGCAGCTATTGATATCTGTAGGGGTGTTGCTATCAAAGATGGGAAAAACAGTAATCAAGCTTTCCTTTTAAAGGATAAAGAAAGGGAAAACAAAAATGGCTCCCATGAACTCTGCACATTATGAGTAACAATTGCTGCCAATTGCTTCTGGCAAAGGTCAAACTGTCAAGCCCGTTCAACTGACAAGTGCAGACTTTCACCCTATTGTGACAAAAGCTCTTTGGCTGTACAGTTGCTGGGACACGGCTTGACCGTATCAGTAGCATCACAAGAAATGTAAGTTTTTGTGTATTTCAGGGGATTGGGTATGTTCTTAATTAGCCACAGAAACTGAGTTAATTCGGGTGGCTCGGAGCAAGGGGTCTCCCATGTGTCCCCTGCATTACAGATAACCCTTCCCCAGCCCTGGTCTACTCCTGCCCCCCTGTCTCTCCCCCTCTTAAGGTACTTGTTAACTAAGAACAGGAGCTCTTTAGGGCTTGTAAACTGATTCTCAGATTTGGTTTTGGAGAGCATTGCTGTGGTTGTGGAAATGCACATGGCCCACCCAGCTGAATTCATTGTCCTTGATGACTTTACTGTGATTTCCAGCATCCTGGTGGTTACTGCAACTGTCCTTTCATTTGTTTATTTATTTGTTGGCTCCCAATGATCAGCTGCTGGGAACCCTTCTGAAATTGCACATTGTTACTATGATTTTGTAAAAGACATGTGGAGAAAGGGTGCAAGGCACAGAGAAAATAACACATGAAAAAACTCTATGTATTTTTTTTTAAAGGTGCAGAGATATATTGTGACATGGCTGTGTACTTGATCTTGTATTTGTCATGTTTCCTACTCGGAGTTTTAGAAAATTACATCCCTGTGATCAGAATATTTTTTCCTTTATTTTCTTTCTTTTTTTTTTTTTTTGCTACAAAATGTATAGTAAAAAACATTCTTGGGGAAAAGTACCTGCTTTTCATTTATTTGCTGTTCTGTGGTCTGCTTTCAAACCTAAGTAAGGAGCAGTAATTATTTTTTAAATTATCTTGAAAATTTAGATGTTTGCTTTCT